TTCATTGCCTGTAACTCATCGATCATAGCTGAATTCCATTGTTTATTCTTTAAATCCTCACTATAATAGATTTGTTCAGAACCTACAAGTAAAGCAAAATAAACAAATTCTACATCTGGTGTTACTTCATCATCACTAGTCACTTCATATTCTTGAAGTCTTGTCGAAAATGTCAGCAAATTCTTCGACTTCGACTGGAATATCAAAAATTTCTTCGAATTCGACTACATTAGTTTATTTTTCGAATCCATGGCTCATCAATGGCTTTTTAATTGCATCATCAAAATTCTAATCCCAGGAAAAATTCTCATCAATCACAATATCTCGACTTATCACAATTTTATCATTAATTAGATTGAATAAGTTGTATGCCCCAATTTTATGATATTCTACCAAAATCATAGGTTCACTTTTTTCATCAAGCTTCCTTCTTCTTGCATCTGAAACATGCTTGTAACATATAGATCCAAACACCTTCAGATGACTCACTGATGGTCTTTTGCCACTCCACACTTTTTTAGGAACCCTGTTCTTTAATTTCTTGGTAGGGCACCTGTTTAGAATATAAACAGCAGTGGAAACAGCTTCACCTCATAAGGGTTTTGACAAATTCTTTTACTTCAACATGCATCTTGCCTATCCAATACGGTCATATTGCTTCTTTATGTAATTCAATTATGTTGAGGCGTATGAGGAGAAGTTACCTCATGATTGACACCATGTTTTCCATAGAACTCTTCAAACATCTTAGACGTGTATTCGGCACCTCCATATGTTTGAAAAACTTAGATCTTCTTTTCACTCTTGTTTTTGACAAGTATCTTGAATCTCTTAAAGATTTTTAATACTTCGTCCTTTAGCTTAATCACATAGAACCCTAGTTTTTGACTGTACTCATTGACAAATGAGATGAAATATATGTTTCCACCAATGATATGCTCCTTAAAAGGGCCACATACATCTGAATGTACAACTTCGAGTATGCAGGAGGATCTCATTGGCATAGTCGAAACAAAATACTTTATGGATTGCTTTCTGACTAGACAACCTTCATAAAGTTTGTTGGACATCTCAAGACTTGGTATTCCAATTACCATATCTTGAGTAATCAGTTGATTGAGTGATCAAAAATTTAAGTGACCAAACCTCAAATGCCACAACCAGTTATTCTTGTGGCCGACAACTGTTTTTAGACATTGTACCTCAATCGAACTGATCAAGGTCTTAAATGTCATGTTCTTCGACAGAGGAGATTTTAAGACCAAGTTATTCTGAGTGTCGAGCAGTTCTAAAGCTCCATCTTTCATAACCACTGAGAAACCTTTTTCAACCATTTGTCCAAAATTTAGCAGATTGAACTTAATTCCACGTACATATAGTACACCTTTTATCATAACTTTCACTCCATTACTCCTTTAAAAAACTTATTTGCTAGTACCTTATGCTTGCAATGAGCTATTATCTGCAAGTCTTACCTTGCTCTTCTTCGACTCATTGAAATATGCTAACCACATTTTTCAACCAGCCATGTGATTCAAGCAGCCTGAGTAGAGGAACCAAAACTTGGATTCGACATGGTTATCTGCAGCCATAACCACCATATCATCAAAATCATCTGAATCTTGACGTTCAAGGTTCGTTCCTTCATCCTTTCCTTTTTTCGATTCCTTTTCTTTCATGTACAAACAACCCTTGCCCAAGTGACCCCACTTTTCACAGTTATAACATTGCACACCTTTTATTTCTCTTCTTTGTCTTTTTGATAGGAATTTCTTTCTCCTCTTTTAAAGGGTTCAGAAGCCTGTCATCGACCTTATTCTTGTGAGGATTCGGACAAGACTTCTTTCTCCGAGTCTTGTTGATTTTTCCTTTGAATTTGTTGGAACCACCATTCTTTTTCCATGATTGGGCATGTAGTGCTTGTATCGAGTGTTGAACTCTTTTCCTTTCGATGATCCTAATCTCATGTGCTTTCAATGAACCAACCAAATCTTCAAATTTTAGGGTTTCAAGATTGTTGGATTCTTGAATAGATATGATAACATGATCAATGTGAGAGGTCAACATACACATTACCTTCTCAACTATCATCTTATTATTTAGAGTTTCACCATAACTCTTCATGAGATGGACGCGTTTCTGCACCTTCGACACATAACCTGCAATCTTTTAGTCTTCTCCAATCGACAATAACTCATATTGTCGTTGCAAGGTTTGCAACTTTAAAACCATGACTTTCTCACCTCCTTTATAGTACTTGACAAGAATATCCCACACCTCCTTCACCGATTCAACATGAGAGTTTCTGTCGAAGTTCACCGCATCAACTGCAGACGGAATGCAATACACAACCTTGTAACCTTTCTTCTTTGCATCCTTATGCGTGACTTTATGAGAATTAGTTGCATTTTTTACAAGCTCAGGGACGCCATTGTTAACCACTTTTAGGATTTCATGGAAGCCGAACAAGGACTTCATTTGTTTTCTCCATCGGATCCAATTCTTACCGTCAAGAATTGGAAGAGAATTTAGAATATCGTTTGTAGAATTCATCTCTGCAGTGGTTACAATTCACGTTCTCTGGAAACAAGATCTTTGACGTGTGATTCTTGAAAACATGATCAAGAATATAACTGGAGCTCTAGATACCAATTTGTAAGTGCGTGAGGCACTTTTAGTGAGGGGAGAAAGAGAGAGAATAAGGAAATAAGGATTCTATTATTGAATTGAATTATACAAATTGAATTACAAACTATGTCTATTTATATACAACTAACTTGTATACTAAGTAGGCTAACAAACCCTAATTAGGATTGAGCTTGAATTACTCAACTTGGATTATATCTTATATCTCAACAACTTATCCCCAAATAAAAAGCTTTTATCCAGGTTGAGCTAACAAACAAACTAGAGATTTTCCAGGTTAATCTCAATAACTAAACATAACTTTTCTAGGTTAAGTTCTAGAACTAAACAAATATTTTAAGACTGGTTAATCTCAAGAACCAAACTCGACTTCTAAAAAATATAACACTCTTGAGATTAATTACAATGACATGACACCAATACAAATTCTTCTTCACAAATAATTTTCACTTACAAGAAACTAAGGCAACTTGGGTGAAAAGAAAGTATTTTAGAGAGAAAAAGGAGATAAATTCCAAAAAAAAAAAAATTGGAATTCATATGTGAAATGAGGTGAAAAGGTGCCTCCTTTATATATGATAAGAGAAAGCTAAAAAAGGAAACAGTCCTGGGTAATTTGATGATCCAATCGATTGGGTATTTATTTCAATCAATTGGATGACCTAAATAATCGATTATTTTTTCCCATTTTAAAAAGTTTGGATAAAAATTTGTTACCAATCATTATGAAATTATTATAATCAACTATATAATCCTTTTTTCTTATTCCAATCGATTTGCTTATGACTCAAATTGATTGGATAGTTCAAAAAATGATTCAAATGAAACTGCCAGTTTCCTAATGAACTGACTCAGGCTTGAAAACACTTTATAGTTTTTATGGTTAAAAAAGAGGTTTAAAAAATCTTTTAAGTGTGTGTTTGTGTGTGTGTGTGAGAGAGAGATAGAGAGGGAGATAGAGAGAGTTGACTTAGTATTTTAGGAGTTACTCTCCTACTTTCACAAAAATGTAGTCACTCACACAAAGACGGTCATACAAGCTTTCACACTTCCTCTCTTTCACAACTTTGAGGCTTTCAAGATCCTTTGTCAGATACATCGATCATATAAGCATTTCAATGGAGTTTTGAGTTTCCTACTTGATGAGGCTTGAGATATCTTCAAGTTTAGTCACCATCATCAGAGAGTTGAAAAGCTATTACCACTGACATCAGTAACCATTGATGTTGTCGACATTAAAACATTAGGAAGGTTGTCATCGGGATTATCAACTTCATACATGTAAGCACATAGATCAACAACTTCACCTTTCTTGGGCTTCATGCTTGAAGGAATGGATTGGAATGATTTTATTGGTCCATAAATGGATAGCACAGAGCAAAGCAAATCATAAGTTACTGGGTGTTCTCTTGGTCTCCCCTAGTGGATTTGTTTACTGGAAATTTTGATAAAACAAGAACAAGTTTTATTTTGCTTAAGGAATTAAGCTTGAAAAGATTCCAGGAAAAATTGTGCAAAAATTATAGATTTGAAAACACATTTGACACTAAAGTCGAATGAAAAGAACTTTAATGTTGTAAATGACTAAAAAGTAAAAGAAATTAAATTCATAAATGGAACGCAAATGCATACATTTTCATATCATTATTTTCTCTCTAACACTTGGATACTATGGGTACGTAGAATTTGTGTGAAATTGCGGACCCCTAATCCTACAATTATGAAGTGTTTATATATTAATTCTAACATAACCGTCACTAACGGTCGACTAAACAACGTATGACACGTCTTCATTTCCATAAGTTTCCACGCGTCCTTCGTAATTGTTTGATCTTATTCATTTGTATCCTATTTTGACATACTCTCATTAATAGGAGTAGCACCAGAAATGAAAGTTTTACCAAATTTCACTAAGTCCCAAAATTCGAATATATCTTGTCTTCGACATAAAGCTTGATATTCATGATTCAATCGAGGTTCCAATATATCTTCGACCTAAACATAACTTCCTTGATAATCATTTCAACTGAGCATAAACTAGGTCGAATCATATAACCAAAAATTCTCTTTTTAATCATTCTATTTGCTTTGTAGATTTTTACTTATGATAGCAATGAGACCCAAAATGTGTAGATTTGTTTTGCAGTAAGATTATCAAACTCTATTTTAAGATGTTTACCTAAAGAGCAAGATTGAAAAACATCTATCTATTTTGGAGAGAGGGAGTTGTAAAGAGATGAATTCTCCCATTATTGCCATTTATAGTTGCTTGCTTCGATCACTCCAAGAAAACCACTGCCATTTGGGTCAGCCTCCACAGCTTGCGAGTTTGCAGCCCCTCCCCGGAAGCCTCCATGGTTGTCCCGTGGTTTCCACTCCCCCTCATATCCATCGATACATCTGTTACGCCTGCCAACTGTTTGAGAAAATCACGTAACCAGATATCCAACTTTGCAAGACAAGTCTTCAAAGCCACACCGAAGCTCCTTTGTGTGAGTATGCCACGTGTTACGTTCTTATAGGAGAACAGTATCAACTGTCATAACTAACTTCTACAAAGCTAATAAAACCTCTCATCTAAACCATTTCTCATCTCTCTGCTTTCAACCAGAAACTTGTCAACAAATCAATGAGCAATCACAAGTTCATCACCTTTGAACAAGGATGGGAGACTTTGCACAAGGCTATCACCAAGTTCCACAGATTCCTAGAAGGATTGGAGCCTGACTTCACTCTTGAGGAATACATCAAACTATATACGTACGTATCGTATCAATTCCAATGTTCAATAAAAATTGTGTTTTTTATCATTCAACTTTTTCATGTTCAAGAAACTGTGTTCAAGAGTTATGCTTTTCATGATTTCTGCTTTAGTCTGGCTATGATGATGTTCAAGAATTACGCTTTTTTCAACTTATATTGTAATGCAGGACCGTCTACGAATTGTGCATCCAAGAGTACACCGTATCTCGTGACTATGCCCGAGAACTATATGACAAGTACAGGGAAACATGTGAAGAGTACATCATATCAAAAGTGAGTAACAATGTCATTTTGGCTATCATATCGTATTCAAGAACCTTATATATCACATACTATTACTGTGGACTGATAGTTTATAGCCTTATATTTAATTCAAATCGTTGATACGTATACACCAGTCCTAATTTGAAAAAATAAATTTGATAAAGAGCAATCAAATGTGTTTGTATCGGACACCGGACACTCCTTCAATGTGAAGGTCACATGTATCAACCATTTGAATTTTCCTAAACATGGAAGATCAAGAACAAATAGTGTATGTATTACATGAACATGACTAAAATTAATGCAATTTTCTTGTTAAAAGGTTTTGCCATCTTTGCAAGAAAAGAAAGGTGACATTTTGTTGAGAGAACTACTCAGAAGATGGTCAAATTACAAAGTTATGACCAACCACCTCTCATACATTTTTGACTATCTTGACCAATATATTCGTAGACACGGGCTTGCTTCTCTTGAAGAAATCAACTTTTCATCCTTTAACCACGGGGTTGGTGATGAGATTTCTTAGAAAAGTTGCATTGATAATTTTTATAATTTATCTTTCTTGTCCTGCATTTCCCTTTTCCCCCTTTTTTTTATCTCTGGATTTTTATAATTTTAATTGTCTCAGGTATATGAAAAGATGAATAAAGAAATAATGGATGCTATCTTTTCTATGGTATTCTCTATTTTTCATTTATATATGTTTTTCACTATAAAAACTGGGGTACACAGCCTTACCCCGTTTCCAGCATGGTTTGAACCCATGATGACCTCAAGGTCGCAATGTGACAACCTTACCGTTGAATCAAGGCTAAAAGAATTGTCTAGTTGGATGGTGGTTATTAAATTATCTTCAATCCAAATTAGTCATTTGAATTTGTCCTGTAATAATAGCTCTTTTGACTTAATTTGTTGATATCCAGATTGAACAGAAACTTGCAGGAGAGAAGATTGAACATACATTTGTTGTTCATACATTGGATTTCTACATAGAGTTTTACAAAAGCACAAAAAAGGACAAGACAGAGGTGATTTCTGTAAAACTTACTTCTTATTGGAGATAAATTTAAAACTGCATTATGTAGCCTGATTTCCTTCTGAAACATGTTGTGGTCAGCCTTGTGAGTCTGTAGGAAAAGATTTATCGAAGAAAATCAACTTGAGAAGCTCTGATGGGACTGTGTTTGAAATTGACTATGGTGTGGCACTTATGTCAAAAAGATTTGAGGACATTACAGAGACCATTTCTGTTGGTGATGAGGTTGATGACATTTCTGTTCATAAAGTGAGTAGCAAAATATTGACAATGATTGTTGAATACTGCAAGAAGCACAGAAGCTGTTATGAACATATGGAAGGGGATGCTAAATTTGTCGAAGTTGACCCTAAAACTCTGCTCGATCTTACAACATGTGCATGCTACATGAAAATCGAGAGCCTGGAGAAGCTGACATGGAACAAAGTATGTGACTTAATTAAAGGAAAGACACCAGAGGAAATTGCTCATATTTTTGGAGATGTAGATGGAACAAAGTTAGTAGAAGAGAACATACAAGGAATAGAGTCTTTGGAGATGTAGATGTTAGTTTACCATTTTATTAGCACATAATGTTTGTAAGTAAATCCTTATGCAATCATAGAAGGCTTAAATGAGTAATTGATGATTTAGATCATAAGATAGGGTATGTTTACTATATTTTGAGGATGCTAGTGGTGTGGTTTAAAGTCTTATATCTATGAGTACTGAATATAGGTTATTGTTAAAAATTTAGAGCATCTCCAATCGAATGGTTGTTGATAGTAAATGTTACAACCCTCTATAAAGGCATGAAGGTCGCACATGCTATCTTCTACAGATCTAACATAGAAACACATTGATGTTACTATGCAAAGAACTAATGAAAATTCGAAGGAGCCTCCTTTGTTTAACTAATTAAAAAAAACAATATTATACTTGTATTTAATAGTTACTAGAAAAATTTATCCTTCAACAATTTACATTATTCTTATAATAAAGTTTCATATACTAAAAAATATTAGCTAGTCAAGAGGGACTTCAAAATGCTTACTATTACTTCAACTCAAATTATCAAATTACTCTTAATTAAAAAAGTTGCATCATATTGAAGTCACGAGTAATTGTCATTACTAAAGATACATCCTACCAAAATGAGGGAACTCTTTAGCTTTAGTGATTTACGATTATCACAAAAAAAAAGTTATTCTAAAACTTGTGAATATAGAAGGAAAAAAAGAAAGAAGAATGAGTGACTCACATAGACTCGGTTAGAGCATATGATATCAAGTGAATAAGAGGTAGAAACAATGCATAAACATAAAAATTAAAAAGAAACAAATCATATAGATAAAATCTAATGGAAAACAGATAAAAAGATTAAAGAGGTATGTGGAAAAACAATTGGAGTTAAAGGGTCAAATCGTTGAATTTAACAATTTCTCGTGCTTTTAAAAAGAGAGTTTCTCGCTTCTCTCTAAAATCTTATCGTGTTTTTTTTTTCTCTTCCGTTTCTAGGGTTTAAAAAGTCTCTTTTTCTAGTTTTTTTCTTGTAGTTTTCTCAATCTTTATGATTATGCTCCTTCTGTTGTAGGAGTTGTATCTGTTTATTCGCTTCTTTTATGTGTTTTGTTTGCTGGTGACATGGATAAATGGAAGAATATCCTTTTGTCGAAGGAGGAGGAAGAGGGCATTACAGTGGAAGTGGAGGAGGTTTGTGGGGAAGAGATTTTCCAACGTACGTTGGCAGGAAAGTTATGGACCGACAATAGCTTCAATGCACGAGCTTTTACAAATACGACGATTGGGGCTTGGAGGTTGAAAAAACTTGTTGAGACCCATGAAGTTTCGGTTCCCTACGAAGAGAGATCTGTAATGTGTTTTGCGTAATGGGCCGTGGAGTTTTGATAGAAACTTATTGGTCCTCGATCGAGTCTCAGGAGAAGAACAAACATCGGATCTAAACATGCATTATGATGTGTTCTGAGTCAGGATCTATGATTTTCCTCTCATGTTGCGCTCACAGGAGATGTCAAAGAAATTGGGAGGGATTATGGAGGCTTTTGAAGAGATGGACCAAAAGGAAGCCCACAGAAATGACAGATTCATGCGCATTAAGGTGACAATTGACTTGAAACAACCTTTGAAATGGGGGATAGTGGTGTGATTCAAGGAGAATAATATTAGGGTTCACCTAGATTGATCGTATGGCATGTGTTGTGTTTTGTTAGTTTATATCTTTCGAATGTTCATCTTTTCGAAGGTTATGGTTAAAGTGTAAAGGACATAAATTCTATGTAAAGTGACTATAGGAAAGTAAAAAGACTTCGACTTAAAAGTAAAAGGAATGAAAGAGATTCTTGATAAAAATAAATTAACAATAAAGTAAAATATGGTGACTCATACGTACATTCTCAAAGACTATTTTCTCTAAACACTAGTACTTCGAATTTTATGAGTAACTTGTACAAAAGTGAACACACTAAAATCTAACATTAAGATCTTAATTTATACTAATTTGACCATAACGATCTTTCACTATAGAAGTGTCACGTTCGACGCTACATGCTTTCTTAAAACCTTAGGCTTCCATGTGTCCTTCTAGATAAGCACAAAGCATTTGAATTCAAATCCGCCTTCCATCCAAAGCGCCAAACATCATGATATGATCTGTCGAATTATTTGAATTCGAAACTTGAAATATCTTTAAGTCTTATACATTCCAAAGTAATAAGACTTCGCTAATTTTCAAACCTTATCTGGCCAGTCAATCGAAAACCATATATAACAACTTCTACATTCCCTTTGTAAAAGTAAACTTCCTTCGACATTCTCTTATTTCTTCCAAATTATAAATCGTCGAAATTCCAACCAACAAATTGCCTCCAAAAAATGTTTATTTCACAATATTTGAAGAAATATACATTTTTTGCAAAGTCTCAATTTCAACGCATAATTCCTCATTATGACTATCGCTGCTATGACGTCATGGTCATGATGACCATCTTTCCAAACGTCTCATCGAGACATGCGTAGTTCAGATTTTCATCATTACTACAACAAAGTAGGTATAAATCGTGGCTTTCCCCAAAAAGTAACCATCTTAACAACTAATTAGCTCACGACACGTGCCCCACTATCTTTCATTATTAAAATAAAAATGAACCATTTCTTGCCACATTTTCATTATAAATACCTCTTCTTCTTCAGAGCATCATTTTTTCTGCTCCCAAAACTCTTCAATAACTTATGATTTCCTCCATTTTTCTTCTTTCCAAAATCAATCAAACAACTCTAACTCTTCTTCAACAATGGCGCCCTCCAAGAAAGGCAACAAATATGTTCAAGAATTGAAGAAAGCTAAAGATGTTGTTACCATTCCCGTTGGTCACATTGCAAAATCCACTTTGGTTGTAAACAAGGAGTTCGTGCCAACACCCACACTTTCTATAGAATAATCTGTTATCTATACATCCCAGATAGTTATTCCCTTTACCCTTGTTGATAGAAACTTAGGATATATGGGTCGTTTAGTTAATGTTGCTGATTTAGAGAAAACCAAAGGATTTTTTTCCTACTTATCATTCAACCAAACCCATAGCTAGTAAACCTAGTACCCCCAAAAATGTAGGAGAAAAGGTTGATCAAAACCCTATAGGGTCAATTGCAGAAATTGTTCAAGGGAAAAATTCCTCAGAAACTGTAAAGGCAGAAAACCCTTTCATTTAGATTACATAACTGAATCCTTTAGGCCTTTTAGATCATGCCCAGCGAAGGATAGAAAACCATATCTCGACTGGCTGGCTAAAGTCGAACAGAAGAAATCCCAAGTCTAAAAAGACATGGGTATTTTCGACCTAATTCAATTATTGAAAGTAGGACCAAGCTATTGCCAACATATGATAATAGTGTCTTTAAACTCCTGGGACACCACTTATAACACTTTTTATCTTCCCCGTGGAATGATTACTCCCACTCTTTTTGATATTGTTTCTATAACTGGGCTTCGACCCACTGGAGAGATCTTTGATCCGACTGAACAAACAGGAAACACTATTGACTTTGATGTTAACCATGTTGGCTTCACAAAGTATATTGCTCATTATCACGTTGGAGAAGAAGAAGTATCAGACGTAGAACACATAGCTTTCCTTGCACTATGGTTGTCTCGATGCGTTTTCTACGACAAATATCTGCAAGTGGCTAAGAGATTCTTAACCCCAGCCAACCAACTTCACTCTAGTCGAAATATTTGCCTTAGTGAGTTAATTTTAGCTAGACTTTATGAGAGCTTAGAGGAAGCTACAAAAAACCTAAAAACTTATGAAGTAGGGACCAATTTACTCTTAGTTGGCCCATATTGGCTTCTTCAACGTTGGCTGAATTCCACTTTTGAACCTTCTCTTTCCACCTCTGAACAAATAGACAAAACAGATCTAGAAATCCAAAATCGAACTATTGAGGGAACGAGGTTGGTTCGATTGACTCCAAATAAAGAAGGAAATGATTTATAGGAATGCTTTACAAGTTATATTATGATGTTTTCTAAACGTCATAACTTTACTCCTTCGATGGCTCCTTTCTCCCAAAGAACCCATGGCCCTAAATGGTTTACGAGGTCTCTCTCTAATATTTCACCACTTTAAGAGGCAGAAACTTTTACCATCTGGCGAGCTTTCCTACTTCCAAGATTGATAACCATAAGACTAATGCATGTTAAAAGCCACGTCATCTTACTCTCCTATCAAACCAATCTTGTCGCTCGATAATCTGGTCTTTGTCAACTAATTCTTGAACCTCTTTTTTAAAGAAAGAGCGTTATCTGCCTTCAAGGAATGAATTTCACTACCTCTGAATGAAAAGAACATATGCAATGCTACTCCACATTCGTTGAATTCAAAATTATTCATTTCCAACCATCCTTCTATTGTACCAAAGGCTTCGATAGTTGGTGGAGAAAATATTAATCCAATAATATGTTCGATGCAACCCTCCTTGCTCAACAACTGAGAAAAGTTTTTGCTTTTATGCAGCGAAAACTTTGAGAGAATAATTTACTAAAATTCTTTCGCATTTAAATATTCCCTCATGTGTCAAACAAAAAAATAGGCATGACTTAGCTTTCAAACTCGAACCACCAAAATTCCCAAAATTACCCAGTGCTGATTTTGGCATGGCATTTTACCCACCTTATCCACACTAGTTCGTCAGTGGGAATTACCACAACTTTTTAAAGCAAGAGTCTAAAAAACCTGCTGAAAGAGTGGTTTCGGCTAAGCATACATTTGACAGTTTCAAAGGCTTCCTTCACTTCAATCTAAATCAAGTTACAATACTTTCCCCAAAAAGTGAAGGTGTAGAACCAAAGGATCTCTTGATTCCCTCGATCGTATTTATCATTTTTCTTTCTTAATTGATGCTAACATGTATTGTCTTGTAATATCCTTTTAGCTGTTGAAAAGAAACCAGCAATGAAAGAAAAACTTACATCGAAGACTGGTTCAACGAGTGAACCCAAGCAAGATACTTCCTCATTGAAGGATTCCATCCCTAATATCGAAAAT